CTGCGGGAGCGAGCGCGCCGGGCCGGGCTGGGGCCTTGGCGGGGAGAAGGCCTGCGGGGCAACAGGTAAGGGCCGGAGCCCGGCGCTCGCCCAGGACCCGAGCCACAGATGCCGACCTTTGGTGCGAGAACCCCCTGGTGGGCCGCGTGCGTTCTGGGGCCTGAGTGTGGAGGCCCGGGAGGAGCGGTGGCGGCCCCTGGTGCTGCTGCTGTGGCCGCCACCGCCGCCTCAGCCACTGCTGCTGGGCCCCTTTTTGCCCATCCCAGAAGAGAGGTTAAGAGCGTCCATGTGCCGAACGGGAAACAGGAAGGAGTAGACTTGGTCTGCCCTGGCCCCAAAGGGCTAAGATTCCTGTACCGTTATGGGGTGTGCGTGGCCAGCTCTGGGAGCAGCTGGTGAAACTAGCTTTACGGGTGGCAACTTGCTAATTACAGGCTCAGAGGCCCTCGAGCTAGTTTGCTAGGGCAGGTGCGTGACATTCATCTTTGGCATAAACTTGGGAGTGTTCCCGTGCCTAAGACGCGCTCCTGGCGTCCGAACCAGATCTCAGTTATTTGAGTTGCCAGCCTCAACAGTCAGGGAGTTCTAGGCATCATGAGGTCTGGAGTGAGGCGGTCTTCCCGGAGAACTGAATTAGGGAAGGCCTCCTGCAGGCAATTACTTCTGTTTATGTTAGAGCTGGGGAAAGAAGTCACTTCCCATCCCAGAGCCGAGGTGACTAGCTTCAAGTTTGTTGACTGCACTTGTGATGGGGCCCTTGAGGGTAAGGATTGGGCTGCAGCACTGTTCTTAGGTCCTGGTCCTGGCCACAGTACTTATTTTCTAAGATGTGCGCGCGCACGTGCGTGTGTGTGTGTGTGTGTGTGTGTGTGTGTGTGTGAATTTATCCTTGTCTCCATTGCTACCCCATACCTCACTGGGCCTCACTGGGCCTCACTGGGCCTCCGGCCAGGTTTTGCCCTGGAGAGAGGGCGCTTTCCCTCCGACCCACCCGTCCACACTCAGCTGCTGCTTAAGCTTGCTGACTTCTCCCGGTCTCTGGGGGCCACAGTCTTATAACATGTTTGGGTTGGGGGGTGGAGTTTGTGAACTTCTCAGACAAGCTCTAGGCCACATGAAGCCTGCGGTCGCATGGTTGCCACCTCACACCCTCATCTTTGCCAGAATCTGACCCATATTTTTGGGCTGGTGCAGTAGCCTGGAGCAGTGACACACCTTTTGACTTCGCCCATTGTTCTTCACCTGCTAGAAAGGAGTCCATGACCAGCTAATGATCCCCGGAGAGAAAGTTTTCAACAGGAAAGAGTACTCAGACCTCCTTCTTCTTTTTATGATTTCTCAGAGAGCCTGTGGGACCCTCTCTTTTTTAATCTCTCTGCAAACAGAGTCCCTAGGACTGTTGTGCCACTGAGTCTGAGAAGTTTTTCTTAGGCTAGCTACACTTATACCCTCCATCCCTCTGGGTCTGCAAGCTCTATTGGCACCTGTCTCTCCACGCCTTTATTTTGCTGGGGAGAGGCTGTGGGTCAGTTTGAGGAGAGAAGGTTGGAGCCAGGTAGAACCTGCTCCACTTGGGGAGTCACATAATGCCTGTGAAATCCCTGCCACACTGGCCCCTCTCCAGCGGTGTCTGTGTCTGAGCAGGTGTGCGTGCGGGAGACCAGTAGATGAACACATACATACACCGTATCTCTCCGTGTGGGGTGTGCAGGTGGCATAATTTTTGTGAGTGGAAAAGCTGCAGGTGTAATCAAGACTCCATCTACCCTGAGGGACGAGGGGGCTGAATGTTGCCTTCTTTCGTTTGGCCTGATGCTGATGGGATGCTTGTCTTGGTGTGCTGGTGCCAAGCCGTCACCTGGGGTGCAGCAGGGAGCAGACTGGTTCTGGGGAGATGTGAAGAGACTGGCTGGAAACCCCAGCCCCTTCCCCTCCCTGCTGGATCTGGGGCAGCTTCTCTGCTATTCAGGACAGCAGGGACTCTGATCACAGCACGCTTGAAGCCCAGCGTGCGGCCCCCATTGGCCCTCACCACTCCACACACAGGGTGGAGGAGGTCTGGTGTGTTCTTCTAGTGCTTTCCCTCAGCCAGTCTGTGATACCCACTTGCCCCACCCCCAGCCCCTAGCTCTTACCTTCTTTGTAGGGATCAGAAAGGCACTAGACATTCCTCTGCTGTTGGAGTCCAGGAGAGAGGCTCCACCCACCCTGCAGGCCCTTAGCTAGCCCTCTGAATCCTTAACCCTCTAGAGGCTCTAACAAGAAAACATCCTACTAAATGTGATGGGATAGCCCAAGGCTAGGATTGCCTGCACGGTCTAATTTAGTTCTCACTGGAGGAAAAGTTAGGCCCCACAAAACAAGGTAGTCAGATGACAGGGTCAGGTATTGGGCCCCACTCCTATCTGGCTAAACCAAAAGGTGGGGAGGAGGAGATGGAGGTGTGCAGACTGCCCCATTAGTCTGGTTTGCTGCTCTTCCCTTCCCTGATCGGTTTTTTGCTTTTCTCTAGGAAGAATGTGTGCTTGTGTGGGCAGTTACATTTAGTTTTGCTCACTTTGAGAGGCTCCCATCTCTTTTCAACAAATTAAATATTTATTCAGGCTAAGGTGGAGTGGGAATGGACACTGGCCTCCGCGGCGAGGCCGGGAATGCGTGATGGGGTGTGTGGAGCTGAAAACCCTTTATCGTCTATGCTGACCTTGGTTTCATCCGAAAGAGCAGTGACCAGGAGTGGGGACAAGAGGGTAAAGTCCTCAAGCTGGAATACTGACTGACCCGTGACAGGCAGAGAGGGATTTCGCAAGTGCTTCTGTGGAGGGTGGAGGCGGAGCTGTGGAAAGAGTCAGAGCTCTGCCCAGCTCAACTGTGGGCTGAGGTGTCCGCCTCCCGCGGCTGCTCCACTTGAAATTCAGAGCCTGGTGCCTCCGCTCACACTGGTCCTCCAGCTCCTGCTCTCTCTCCACCTGCCACAGCGTCCAGTCCATAGGTCAGTCTGAATGCTGCCATCTCTCCTTATTCAAGGAGGATGAGAGGTGGGGACTTCCTTGGCTCCCCTACTCCGCCAGTCTTAGAATTTCCTGAGCAGCTGCTAATGACTGTCCCCTGCCTCATCTGGATCCCGGTGTTCAGTGCCAAACTGTTTTTCATCTTTCTGTGGAGGGAAGGAGGGAAATTGAAGGCAGCAGCTCTTTCCTGGCTTGAGGATGTTCCCTTGCAGACAGGTTTTTATGTTCTTGTGAACAAGCCTTTGTAAGAAATAGGTTATGAATGCTGGACAGTGGTGGCACACGCCCTTTAATCCCAGCACTCGGGAGGCAGAGGCAGGTGGATCTCTGAGTTTGAGGCCAGCCTGGTCTGCGAGAGCTAGCTCCAGGACGGGCTCCAAAGCTACAGAGAAACCCTGTCTTGAAGGAAAAAGAAAAAAAGAAAAGAAATAGGTTATGGCAGCCGTGGTGGTGAGCTTATCATTTCAGCACTTGGGCTGCTTGAGCTGCTGAGGCAATAAGGTCATGAGTTTGAGACCAGCCTGCACTGCATAGGTGCTGTCTCAAAGAATAAAGGAGGAAGAGGAGGAGGAAGATGAAAAATAGGTCAGTTTGCCAGTTGTCTTGGTTTGCTGTTCAGACCCTGACCTCAGCGCTGACACTGTGCCTCTCACTTCCCTTCTTACCGATCATTCTCTGCCTCACGCGTAGGGACTGAATGCCTTGGCATGGAGTGCCAGTCTTGTGTGCAGGTGTCTGATGCTCACTGTTCTTTGGGGATGGTACTTCTTTTCATTTTCTCCTGTAGATCTGCTGGCCAGCTAAGGGTCTTACTATGTAGCCCTGGCAGTCCTGGACATTGTGGCCTTACCTGCCTCTGCCTCCCGAGTCTGAGATTAGAGGCATGTGTGCTACGAAGCCCAGTGAACCTGGATGACTTCCCTGGCTGTTGACTACTGCTTCTCTGACTGGGTCTTGCTTGTTCTCCAGGTTGAGAGCCAAAAGATAAGACTGATAAGAAATTAAGAAATGAGTGGGGTTTTTTGTTTGTTTGTTTTGTTTTTTTTTCCCCCAGGGGATCAGGCCTTTGTGGTATCAGCATCACCTAAGGTTGCAACAAACTGTAAATGCTGGAACTTGAAAGCCAAGCCATTGAAGTCCTATTACAGATGAGGAAAGCAGTTTGTTCCAGGGCCATGTAGCCCTGTCCCTTTCCTTTTGACAACCCAAAGAGTGTTTATTTCTTTTCTTCCCCGCAGAGCTCTCACTTGCTTCTCCCTCCCTCACTTAGGATGCTCCAGACATTGTATGACCACTTCTGGTGGGACCGACTGTGGCTGCCTGTGAACTTAACCTGGGCTGATCTAGAAGACAGAGATGGACGTGTCTATGCCAAAGCCTCCGACCTCTACATCACACTTCCCCTGGCCTTGGTCTTTCTCGTCATTCGATACTTCTTTGAGCTGTGAGCATGCCCCACACCTTCTCCGATTGCCAGCCAGCCTAGCAGACTTCATGTTGGTCTCTGGACACTGGTGTTCTCTGCACCCAGGTCCCTGCTGCCTGCTCTCCCTCCCCCAGGGCACCATTGTCTTCCTGAGGCCGCAGCACCCCCAACCCTTTCCTTCAATAGCTGGTTGTTCTCACCCTGTGCCCGCCTCCTCTTCGCCTGGTCAATAGTGAACATAGGCAGCTTTGTCAGCTGTGGGCAGCCCAGGAGGCTAGAGGAAAGGGGGTTGCCAGGAAACTTGGGAAACTGAGGCCCAAAATTAAGATGCCTGAACTTGTGGTACTTTGTCCTCCCCGTTTAGGGGTTAGGAGTCCTCCAAGGGAGTCAGACACCTCTCTCTCCTGTCCCTTCCCCAGTTATGTGGCTACACCCCTGGCTGCCCTCCTGAATGTTAAGGAGAAAACTCGACTACGGGCCCCTCCCAATGTCACCTTAGAGCATTTCTACCTGACCAGCGGCAAGCAGCCCAAGCAGGTATGAGCTATAGATGACCCTGGCTGGGACTTGCTGAGTTTGGGTGGGCCAGAGTTTGAATGCTAGCTCTGGAGGGTGAGGACTTGGTGGGTTGTTACGGGGTGAGGTTGGGCAGAGTTCCAACACTGCCGATTTGGTAGCTGAATGTAATGGCCTCACTATGCTTAGGTGGAGGTAGAGCTTTTGTCTCGGCAAAGCGGGCTCTCTAGCCGCCAGATAGAACGCTGGTTCCGCCGGCGCCGCAACCAGGACAGGCCCAGCCTTCTCAAGAAGTTCCGAGAAGCCAGGTGGGGGAAACTGGGGCAAGTGAAGCTGGGTGGCACAGTTCTGTTGTTTCTTGCTGGGAGGAGAGGGCTGTGGTATGTAGAAGTAAGGGTTCCTTAAGATGGTGTTTGGGGGCAGTAGAAGCTGCTGATCCTCCTACCTAGCCAGATCTGCTTCCTCTTGCAGTTGGAGATTCACATTTTACCTAATTGCCTTTGTTGCTGGCATGGCGGTCATTATGGATGTGAGTACTGGGATGTGGGACACATCCTTTGTCAAGATGGGGTAAGGCAATAGGATTTGAGTTCTTTCTTTAATCTCTTTGCAGAAACCCTGGTTCTATGACTTGAGGAAAGTTTGGGAGGGATACCCCATACAGGTATGAGGAGTGGGCTACAGCACGCAACACCCAATATTAAGAGTTTCTTCACACAACAGAGTATCTTGAGGGGCTAGAAGGGGCGAGTTTGGAGGTGAGCCCCTTAGAGCTAGTTGTTCTGGGGTCCCTCACCCCTCTTTCCTCTCCCAGAGCATCGTCCCTTCTCAGTATTGGTACTACATGATCGAACTATCCTTCTACTGGTCCCTGCTCTTCAGCATTGCCTCCGACGTCAAGCGGAAGGTGGGTGAATAGGCTGTGCAGTTAAGTCCAAGGGCCAGATGAGGCTCTGGAATCAGGACTTCCCAGAGATCTGGACAGAGCTGCTGGGATACTGGGAACAAAAGTTTGGGCTGTGTGTGTGAACAATGAACAGGGAAGAGTCTCTTGAAGCCTGCATCTTTTCTGCAGGATTTTAAGGAACAGATCATTCACCATGTGGCCACCATCATTCTCCTCAGCTTCTCCTGGTTTGCCAATTATGTCCGAGCAGGGACTCTCATCTTGGCTCTGCATGACTCCTCTGACTACCTGCTGGAGGTTAGGCTTCCTCACAGTAGAGCTCCCAGTGCAGGCTCATTTGTTCCTCTAGTCTCCCAGGGGTTGGAGAGGGCATTGATATTCCTGGTACTGAGGTGGGAGGGCACAGCCAGTGCTGCTAACCACACACATATAATTAATGTGTACGGGAGAGTCGGGGGCCCATGATGATAGATGGACTATTTATAGTCTGCCAAGATGTTTAACTACGCGGGATGGAAGAACACCTGCAATAACCTCTTCATTGTCTTCGCCATCGTTTTCATCATGACGCGACTGGTTATCATGCCCTTCTGGTAAGTAGGGAGCTGGCTCTTCCTGCCTTTCTCTCATTTCACCCAGCTCCACGTAACCACGCTCCCTTAACTCCTTAGGATCCTCCACTGCACACTGGTATACCCCTTGGAGCTCTACCCTGCCTTCTTTGGCTATTACTTCTTTAATGCCATGATGGCAGTGCTACAGATGCTGCATATCTTCTGGGCCTACTTCATTCTGCGCATGGCCCACAAGTTCATAACTGGAAAGGTAAGGAAGGCTGCCTCCCCTTTGTAGACCTCGGCACTCTCAACCCCAAGTGCTCTAAACTCTGTCGTGCCAGTAACATTTCTGAAACAGTGAGGTTCTGGGGGCTAGCAGGAAATACATAACCCTTTTTGTCCTTTTCACAGCTGGTAGAAGATGAACGCAGTGACCGAGAAGAAACAGAGAGCTCAGAGGGGGAGGAGGCTGCAGCTGGGGCAGGAGCAAAGAGTCGGCTCCTAGCTAATGGCCACCCCATCCTCAATAACAATCATCCTAAGAACGACTGAACATTGTCCTAGCTGCCTCCCACATTAATACATGAAGCCAAGAAACTAGCCAACCTTCCCTGTAGGGACACCTGAGCTCCGGGGAGAAAGGGCATAAGGAGAGGAGTCTACATGACTCTCTTACTCTTGTCACCTAACTGTAACCAGCCTATCTCAGGGAGAGAAGGTTGGTCGTATCCTCTGCTAGAGAGGGGAATGGTCTTATTTCCCTCTCTGTTTTCCAGGCTATCCTTTCTCTTGCTTTTTGAAAACCTTTCTCCACTCTGAGGGTTGGAGTTAAAACTCACATTCCTTATTCTGAAGAATTTGGAGCTAGCTGTTTGCCTTTGACTCCCTGACTTTAAGCCAGGGTTGTGCCTTACTGTCCCATCTCTGGGCCTCATTCTGCCAAAGCTGGACCAAGGTTCCACCTTTCTAAGCTCCCTAGCTCGAGCCAAAAATGAAAGCTGAGCTACTTTTAACTTTTTCTCCTTTATAACAAGTTAACTAAGTGAAGGAGGGTATACATGCCCCTCACCCTACCCCAGGGACCACAGTTCCAGGATGTCACTGCCTCCTTTCCCCTCCCTCCAGCTAAGACAAGCTGGCGTGGAGTAGAACGGCAACTAGTTCTCTTATTTATTGAACATTTGGAGTTTCAGTTATAAAGCCAGAACTACAGCTAGGACCTGGCACTATGGCGAGGGACCATTTCAGACCAAGATGTACTGTAATGGTTTTTTTTAATTAAAGTATATTAAAGGTTAAATAAAACATGACAGTGTGTCAGACTATTAAGAACTGAGAAAGGGAATAGTTTTCTTAGGCCTTCTTTGTGGTTATGTAACTTTTTTTTTTTGCTAAAAATTACACAAATAAAATAGAAGTGTAAGACAGCTGCCCACTGGGAAAATGACCTCTCCCTGGGAGATTACGATGGGGACTGAGGAGAGAAGATACACAATCTTCATCACGAAATCACACAGGATAGGGATGGCAGACATACAGCCCATGAGAATAATGAACACGGGAACATCTGAGGACTCAGGCTGAGGCTAGAGTGGTCATGTGGACCCACCCTAGTGCCTGCTAGCACCACACTGGGAGAGTCCTGATCCAGAATCCCCGTTTCTATCTACTAGGAACTGGAGAGTAGCTAGACCAGAGACTTGGGGTCAGAGTTCAACAGCCAGGGTCTCCCTTTACAGGAGACGACCTCTGCATTCAATGGCTCCGCAGCAGCACAGCAGCTCCTTGCCTTCCACACTGCCCACTTCGTAGTTGTAGTCCCAAGTAAGTTCTGTTCCAGCCCGGATTCTCCTGAAGAGGGAAAAGGATGGGGATGTGGAAGCACAGGCACTTGGAAGTAGAATTTAGAAGGTAAAGGTGAAGGCTGGCCACAAAGGAAGGTCCCCCCCACCCAGAATTTCCATGGAATTTATCCCTCATTATCCCTCTTACTTGCTGGCAAAAAAGGCCACCCAAGGGAAGCGAAGATCATGAGTATCCACGAAGACATTCTGGACAAACAAGTTGGGGCTGCAACTGTGCTGTAGTACAAAGATGACAGTCATTTGACCAAGGAAACATCTGGCTTTGTGAGAATTACAAGAAAATGATATCTGATCTCTATCCCCACTGCACATCAGTGATGTTTTGAAAGAAAGCTACCTTATTCTTTGAAATCAACTTATAAACAAAAGTGGGTTTGTATAGTATCTTTAAAGAATTAGGAATTTGAGAGCAATGGCATACACAACCCTGAACTTAGAAGTGGTCAAGAGTCTCACATTGAGGTAGCGGCCTAGGTTGCCTTCAAGCTTGGCGTCAATGATGTAGCAAGACTCTTCACCATCGTAGAACTGGCGTGTGTTCTTACGAACTGGTGCGCTCTCCCCCTTGTCCACGGAAGCCATATTGGTTGATTTAATAGCAATCCCATGGGTTGATTTAAGAGCAAAACCTCGGGTTGATTTTACTGCCACCTGGCGCTTTGCTGGACCTGAAAAGCAAAAAAAATAAAAAAAGGGGTGTGTGTGTCAGACTTATCCCAACTCATGATCAGACCTTCTATCACTTTTATTTAACCCAGCCTGCTTCTCAGACTTGTGATCCTAGATGTTGCCACCACATTTCCCTCAGTTTTCAGTTCAGGAATAGCAATGTGCTAGGCTAGATCTCAGGCTAAGACCCTAAGTCACTAGTCAGGTGTGAGTGGTGCACGCCTTTAATCCCAGCACTTGGGAGGCAGAGACAGGCAGGTCTCTGTGAGTTCGAGGCCAGCCCAGTCCACAGAACTAGTTCCAGGAAAGGATCCATAGCTGAGAAACCCTGTCTGGAAAAACCAAACAACAACAAATGTTCCCGACTTTCCTGCTTCTTCCGACTATTCCCCAAACATTTTCAGACTACCGGACGAGGTCTTCTTGTCCTCAAAGTCATCGCCTTCAGAGCCGGAAGAGATGGTCTGGATGTCATCACTGTCAACGGCTGTGGCTGAAGTCTGGCCAGCAGTGGGCTTTCGGCTGGTTGCACTTTCCCCCTCGCTTTCTGTGCTGCTGGACAGTGTCAGGATGTCCTGGGGAGACAATGGTCAAAGGGAAGAGCTACTGGGAAGAAAGGTTGCTTCAAGTTCTTGCTTTTACCAAGGATTTGGCAAAATGGGCTATGGCAACTGCATGGTGATGATTAGATGTTGGAGAACAAGGTGGAAAAGTCAAGACCAAAGAAATAAGAAACTTAACTGATAGTCATCCTAGTGAATGACTTGAGGTGAGGCTACTACATGTTCCTTTACTTGGACTAAATAAAAGAGAAGGCACTCACATCGGGGTTTGACTGAGTAGAAGCCACAAGTCGCCGGGTTTGGGGCACAGAAGTTTTACTAGATGGTCGGCGAAGCCCTTCAGACTTCATAGGAAGATTGTGTCCATAATTCTGAGAGCTTTCAGTAACTCTGATGGGAAGGGCAAAGAATGAGAGGGGTCAAGTTACTGGCTGTTTCTTTTGTAAGTGTGAAAGGAGAAGGCAGACTTAACACAATCCAAAAGCAAGCACTTACAGTGACATCTTGTTCCGGTCATCCGGGTCCTGGAAAGGAACAAGTGAAGGGTTAAATGCTTTCATGGTCCAAGGTAACAAAAGATTTCCAAAGACAAGATTAGCATAAGGTAGTAAGAGGCACACTGAAGAGGGGTGCTCTGGGGAAACCACTCTGTAACCTAACAGCAATAATCACTCTCACCAGTATACTCCCCTGGCAAGGTCCTTTAATCTTTCCCAATAATATAACATGGGAACACAGTGTTCCATGGACCCAACAGTTTTACTACCTGTAATGGGGAATGTTTCAACATCAAAGATATATTTGTAATAGCAAATTTCAAGCCAACCTCGATTGTAGTGCAATCCTATCTAAAAACATAAATGAAAAACAAAATGAAACAAACCCTAACTACAGTTATTTATTGCTTTGGGTTTGAGATGGAGTCTTGACCGAGGTGACCGCCCCCCAATCCCCATTTGCACCAAGGTTAAAAGGCACTGCTCTTAACATAGACACATGTTCCCTGACTCTTGTCATGCGACACCTTACAATGTCCTGGAGTCATCCAGCTAGGATGGCCATCACCAGATGCAGCTTTAAAACTTCAGAATCATGCATTAAAAAGTAAAAGTTTTTCTGGGGGGGAGAGGTGGCTGCTCTCAAGAGTGTTCAGTCAGCTGGGTAGTGGTGGTGCACATCTATAATCCCAGCACACGGGAGGCAGAGGTAGGTGGATCGAGGCCAGCCTGGTCTACAAGAGCTTGTTTCAGGACCCTGTCTCGAAAAAAAGAAAACAAACAAAAAAAGCGTATTTAGTCCTTTCTTACCTCTTTCTTAGTCTGCTTATTGTCTCCTTCATCCTTGAAGCTCAGTCCTGAGGTAGAGGCCTTCTCAGCCTCTCCCCGGCCTCCCCCAGCCCGGCCATCTCCACCTTCACTAGTCTTGAAGGAAGAACGGCTGTCAGAGTCGGCAAATCCACTTTCACTGACACTATTGCAGCTCAGCCACGAGGCCACCTTGTTCTTGGGAGTCTCCTCAGATGAAGGTGGTTTGCAGCCCCCCACAGATACTGAGGGAGGCATAGGAGCATGTGGAGGCCCAAGGTCTGGGGGGCGGGGATCCTTGGAAGCCATTTCAGACAGTCCATTCTCCTTCTGACCCCGCGTCTGTCTTCGGGTAGCATAGCTACGCCACACTGAACTGGTGCTGAAGTCCTCATCCTTACAGAAGTTATCATCAGAGCTGTCGTCATTGGATTCCTCAGGGTCCTCTGAACCACTGTTGCCATCTTCCTGGTCCTTCATGTCTACCCCACTGCTGTCAGAGGAATTGCCGACATCACTCTCATATCCTTCCTTAAAGTTCTCCACACTTTCAATGTGGTCCAGATTTGCAAAGTACTCATCACCCATCTCCAGGCCTTCTTTGTCTGCAAAGTCATCTGTCAGGATTTTGCCTGAGAATGAAGAGAATTGAAAGGTCTTCATCAGTAACCCTACTCAGAGGGCAAATCCTGTTCTATGTGCTCACTTTGGATGCCATCCCTGTCTTCACCATGAAAGCACTGTCACTACAACCTGTCACACCATCCTTTGACATTCTCATTTTTTGTTTATCGCCAACATGTCCTAGCTACCCTAAAATATCTTTTGGAGAAAATGATACAATGGGATCTAAATGAGATCTCTCACTGAAGAAACAATAGCCAAAATCTGATTCCCTTTCACCGTTTTTTTTTGTTTTTGTTTTTTTTTGTTTGTTTTTTTGTTTTTGTTTTTGTTTTTCGAGACAGGGTTTCTCTGTAGCTTTGGAGCCTGTCCTGGAACTTGCTCTTGTAGACCAGGCTGGCCTCGAACTCACAGAGCTCCACCTGCCTCTGCCTCCCAAGTGCTGTGATTAAAGGCATGTGCCACCACTGTCCGGCTTCCTTTCACAGTTTTTATGAAGCACCTTTAACTCTCTCTGGTTCACCTACATAGGTACATCACCTGGCATGTCTTTACAGGAGAAGCTCCTGTCTCCTCTTACTCCCAGTTACACGTCTGACTGTCTACCGTCCACTCCCTCTTCTATATTGCTAGGACTGAATTCAGTGTCACCTGCAAACTAAGCACATGTTGTTCTTCAGAGCTCAGTTTCACTGCTCAAACACTATGCTTTTTGTTTGTTTGGTGGGTTTTTGTTTTTTTGAGACAGGGTTTCTCTGTGTAGCCCTGGCTGTTGTGGAACTAGCTCTGTAGACCAGGCTGGCCTTGAACGCATGGCTCTGTCTCCCAAGTGCCCGGATTATAGGTGTATGCCACCAATGCCCATCAAACACTATTTTTTTAAGGCAGAGTCTGGGTATGTACTCCAGGATACCTCCAACTCCCAAATTTTCTGCCTTCACTTTCTAAGTACCTACATTATAGGCACATGCTACCAAGCCCAGTAGCACTTTGCTATGTTCAACTGCTCTGAACTACCATGTCCCAAACCCCATGGAGCAATAACCTCCTCTTTCATTACTAACCTGCATAGATACAGACAAAGGAGCCTTTGGCAATGTCATCCAAGCAGCGGATACCCCAGCCCTTGTTCTGTGTCTTAAATAGCTGTAGTCGAACCTGTAGTCCATGCTGTACCAGCCGATTTGTGCACATGTTTGGATCACAATTGCAGCGTTTGTTACACTCATAAACCCTAGGAAGGTAGAATAAAATCAATGACCGCCACTAGAGTACTAAAAGCCGT